TCCATCCATCCATCCATCCATCCATCCATCCATCCATCCATCCATCCTATTAACAAATTCAAATATGAATCCCTAACACTACCTAAAATTATAGCACAATATTCCCAACCAAGCCATATATTTTGGTTTATAATTTGTATGTTTTTTTAAACTACTTGATGAGATATGGAAGAAAAAAATTGAATGGAAAAGTAAAAGGGGTCCTTAAATTCTTATGCATTGACACACCTAATAAATGTTTTAAAAACTGTATTTAGCTGATTAAAGCAATTTTTTATTATGTTTTTGTCTCTCTCTCTTTTTTTTTATAGGTAGAGAAGGAGAAGATTCATGATCATGAACGTGCCTTCGCCTACGAGCACCTTAACCTACTCCTGCACTATATTATGGGCATGAAAGTAAGCATGGAGGGTCTGCAGCCCCAAGGACTGGAAGTAGCCGGACACAAACTGATAGAACTCCAACAATCCCTCAGGGAACTCGAGGCTAGAGTCTCCCAGCTCAGCATCACCTCATCTGGGCCTCCCGTGCAGGGAGCTGCCGCCACTTCCTCCTCCTTGTCGTCGTCCTCCAGCTCTGGTCCACCTGTTCCATCCGCTTCAGCTCCTCTCCCTCCACCTCCCACTCTTCCTCCCACTCTATCTGTGTCTACGTCTTTCACACCCCTGCCTAGCTCTGTGGGCGCAGCGCTGGAGCTCCAGCTCCACAGTGAAAAAACTAAGGTGGCTGAATTGGGCCGAAGGTGCACAGAACTTGAGGTCAAATCTGGGACGTTTGAAAACGTGGTTTGTGTTCTTAACAGAGAGGTAGAGAGGTTTGCCACAACTATGGAGGCCAGCAACCGGCAGCATAAACTGGACCAAGATAAGATCGAGGCTCTGAGCAATAAGGTATGACATCAAACACAAACTGCACAGAGCCGCTCGATTCTAGCATACCATGACCTCCATTCACACGATACTTCAGTACTTGACACTTACACATCAAAAATACTTCCTACATCTCTGCAGAAAATCAGTATGTTATGTCCTGATGCATGCTCAATAATCCAGGAAGATAACAAGGTTGAGTCAGGTCCTCTGGACGGATTCTTTATTGAAACGTTTCGTCTTTTATTCAAAAGACTTCTTCAGTCTGAGGCGCGGCAATAAACTAAGTCTTAGAAATAGCATCTTCTCATAGTGGATCAAGCAGTTTGCTGATGACATCCAGAACTAGCCGTTCACATATTTAAGGAGGACCATCAGCTTAACAGTTGATCATTAGTGCCTTAACAATTAGTCGTTAGTGCCCTGAGAAATTCGAGAGAGGAGTAAAGGAAGCCATCTTTGTGACGAGAACCAGTCCATCATTAAACAGGGGCAGAGTCCTCCATGTTCACCTGTCATTCTCTTATAATGTTGTTATTGCTACCATCACTCAGCCTCTGTGAATAGCAAGCAGCCATCATGGTACTAACAATCAATTTTTAGGCTGATGGTCCACTTTTTATATGTGAACAGCTAGTTCAGAATGTCACCAGCAAACTGGTTTATCCACTATAAGAAGGTGCTGTTTATCCACCTTATTCCTGGTGCCTCTACTCTAGAAAAGACTATGCGAGAAACTCCCGGTCCGACACCGGAAGTAGTGGTAATATAGTGGCAGAGCATGGAGAGCAGAGTTAGTTCAGCAGAGAAAATGCTGTTTTTGTTTTGTTAAAATTTATTTAACAAACGTAACATTTACGAAAATGTCCAACCGGAGTGCAGGCACCTGCTGTGTTGTTCACGGCTGCAGGAACAACCAGACCAAACTAAATCAGTGGCTACACCAACAGTGTTTTGAACACGTACCCAAAACCAAAAGAGAGTGTTCCTGTGAAAAGCGATATATTTTCCATTGCCTACCTACAGATGAGGAATTAAGATGAATGTGGCTTAAAATCTGAAATTGAAGAGACCACCCAAAACTCTGTATGTGAGCTCATTTTACTTTGTTGACAAACGGCCGACGGAGGAAAACCTGCATCCTACTTTGTGTCTGGACTTAAATAAACCACCGGAGAAGAGACGGCAGATCCTCAGAAGGATTGAAAACAGTGATGAGAATATCAGGTATGATTTCAAGTGTATGGAGGACACAGCTTCATAGTATTTGTTCGTCTTCCGTATTATAATTTTTTCTGCAATTAAAATGCAACTTTTGTTTATGGCATTGACAGCAGGGTAGCAGAAATCTAAAAATATTGTAGTTTCACAACAGAAGTGTTACTATGAATTTTCATTTGTAGCTTTGATAATGCTTTGATAAAGCTTTGATAATTGATGGGAGGGTAAATGTTGTAATGATATAAGAAAACCCCAATGTATCTTGCATTAATAATTATATGTGTTATTGCTACCTTCAGATTAGCTTGATGAGGTGGAGAAGAATGAGGAGCTGTGCTCAACATCATCGTCTTCATCATGTAATGCCCAAACTCAGTGGTCAGATCCAGGGATGGAGGAACACAACTATTCAAAAGGTCCACCGTCACGTTGAATATTGTATCTTGCCTACAACAATTTGCTCCTGTTTCATTTTCTGCCTGTTGTAGACCAACTCCTAATGACTTTATTGAAACTAAGACAGAACTGTGTCATGGCTGATTTAGCACGGTGGTTTAAAACATCACAATGTCAAAAAGTGAAAACTGAAAAAAATATATTTATTATTGTACTTTAACTGCTTACGCATCTCATTCAATTAACATTTTCTGAAAACAACTGAGGTACAACTGAACAACCTAAAGTATAAACCAGTAAACGGATGGATGGATGCCTGAAGGGGATATTATGTTTTGAAGTTTTATGTTTTTAATAAAATTAATAACAACACTTAAAACTGTTATTTTCTCCCTAGCTTCATACAATGCTCTTCATGTGTTGTGTATGTAGTACACAGAATATTTATTTGCTTACTGCATTTTAAAGAGATCAAGGTTTTGTGGCAGAGCTGAATCGTCTTTGCAACAGATTAATCTACCTATGTTGGAAGCATGTTCATATAGTAAAAATTCTGGAGGCGTTTTGTGTGTGTATCTGTAAAGTCTTTGTCAAATGAAATGTCCAACTCCAGGTGTTCTGTTGGTGTCCAGATACCGGTAATCAGCTTGCAGTTCCAGGTACGTCATTGTCCGCTGAGCCTTGAAGAATAATGTAAAATATGTCTTATGGTTTGTTTTAATGGTTTACTAATACTTGTCACATAAGTTCATAGATTGTAAATTACAATATGTACTCACCTGGAGGTAGTATCCACTTTGCCTATTAGGAAGAATGAGATACGTCTCATCTTCTAAGCATCTGATGTCACAATTTGGCTGACACAGAAACTCTGAAAGTGACATGAGGACATTTGATCTCTAGGAGCTGAGTCCAAAATTCCATCTGGGCTTACTCCAAACTAAAAACAGTAGGTGCACACTATCATTACAAATGCAATTAAAGTAATTGATAAAAATAAAATAATAATCAGCATTTACTTTCCGAAGTATTGCAGCAGTGTGGCTGCAACCTGCCTTGCCCTGCAATGCATGAACAACCTGCAACCTCATGTTGAAACTAACACCCAGACTCAGTGACTTTAAGGCTTTGGCTGAGCTCTGTCTCTGCTTTAAGATTAAGATTAATAAGATTGTGTCCCACTTCTTTTACAAAACGTCACCAACCTTATTACTGTGTAGATATTAATACGCCTCAGAGCTTTTCAGGTTGTTCATCACTTCACTGTCAGAAGAACAGAGTCAATAATGTAGCTAAACATGCTTGCAGATGTACTGTAGCTAATATGGTAGTAGATATAATCTGCAGCCACTTCTTCAGGTCGTCCTCCATCCCTCATCTGCAGCAGTCAGCAGTATGATTATATTGTCCATTATTAGCTCTGTCAGATGGTATTCCTACATGTTTAAAATAGTAAATCCACAATGCTCAGACTGTTCGTATGTACTGTTTGCACATAAACAAACTTAGTTTTCACTCTACCGGAAGTTGCTTGTATATATCACACAAAGCATCATGCGATGTACGAAAAAGGTGGATAAGACTGAGTTTGCTCAGCGCTTCAGACTGAAGGTCTTTTGGATAAAACATGAAACATTTTAACAAAGAAGAATCTGTCCAGAGGACCTGACTTAACCTTGTTAAAATCAGTATGTTATTTTTGTATTTTATAGAATTCAGTGAGCTCGTCCATACTCATGAATACAGTTGGTTCAGAAATTAACCCATGAAATACCACAAATATAAAGATGTAAAACAAAAACACATAATAATGAACTGGACTCATCTTCTTTCTTCTTCTTTTGGCTTTTCCCCTTTTCAGAGGTGGCCACAGTGAGTCATTCTCCTCCATCTCACTCTGTCCTCTGCATCCTCAATCCTCACTCTTAACTACTCCCATGTCCTCTTTTACTGCATCCATATATCTCCTATTTGGCCTTCCTCTTTGTCTTTTTCCTGGCAGCTACATTTCCAACATCCCTCTACCAATATACACACTGTCTTTCCTCTGGTTATGTCCAAACCATCTCAGTCTGGCCTCTCTAACTTTATCTCTCAGTTGTTCAACCTGTGCAGTACCTCTGCTGATCTCATTCCTAATCTTATCCATCCTTGTCACTCCTAAAGAGAATCTCACTATCTTCATCTCTGCCACTTCCAGTTATTTCTTCTGTCGTTTTGCCAATGTCACTATCTCCAGACCATACAACATAGCTGGTCTCACAACTGTCTTGTGAACTTTTCCTTTGGACTTTGCAGATACCCTTTTGTCACAAATTACTCCTGAAACTGTTCTCTGTCCACTCCATCCTGCCTGGACTCTCTTTTTCACCTCTTTACCACACTCCACATTTTCAAGGACGGTGGACCCAAAGTACTTGAAGTCCTGCACCTTGACCTCTGCTCCTTGTAGCCTCATTGTTACACCGGTCTCCCTCTCTTTCACACACATGTACTCTGTCTTTCTATGGCTGACTTTCTTTCTTCTTTCACATGCATACCTCCACCTGTCTAAGTCCTCTTCCTCCTGTTCCCTGTTCTCACCACAGATCACAATGTCATCTGCAAACATCATAGTCCATGTGGATTTCTACCTGACCTCATCTGTTAGTCGGTCTACCACTGGAGCAAACAAGAAGGTTCTCAGAACCGATCCTTGATGCACTCCCAACCCCAACTTGAAGCTATCTGTCTATCCTACAGCACATCTCACCACTGTCCTGCTGTCCTCATACATGTCCTGTACCAGTCTAACATACTTCTCTGCCACTCCAGATTTCCTCATGCAATACCACACCTCCTCTCTTGGCACCCTGTTATATGCTTTTTCTAAATCCACAAAAACACAATTAAGTTTTTTTTCTGACCCTCTCTGTACTTCTCCATCAGCATCATCAAAGCAACTATGTCATCTGTGGTGATCTTTCTTGGAATGAAACCCTACTGCTACTCACAGTCACCTCTCGTCTAAGTCTTGCTTCCACAACTCTAACCCCAGATCTTCATTGTGTGACTCATTAACTCAATTCCCCTGAAGTTGCTACAACTCTGTACATCACCCTTGTTCTTAAAAATGGGCACCAGCACACTTCTTCTCCATTCCTCAGGCATTTTCTCACCCTCAAATATGCCATTAAATATTTGAGTCAAAAACCTCACTGCCATCTTTCCAAGACATTTCCAAACCTCCACTGTATGTCATCAGGTCCTACTGCTTTCCACTTCTTTATTTTTTTCAGAGCTTTCTGGATTTCACCCTCACTAATCTATTCCACTTCCTTGTCCATATGACCTATGATTGTTTCTATGACCTCTACTCTTCTTTCCATTCCCTTTTCTTCATTCATTAGTTCCTCAAATTACTCCTTCCATCTTCCCATCACACTCCTCTCACTAGTTAGAACATTACATTTCCTATCTTTAGCAAGCCTAGCATGCTGTATATACTTTCCAGCCTAATCCCTCTGTTTTGCCAATCGGTACAAGTCCTTCTCACCCTCTTTAGTGTCCAGCCTCTCATACAATTCATCATATGCCTTCTGCTTTGCCTTTACTACTTCCCTCTCTGCTCTACTTCCTATCTTATATTCCTGTCTCCTCTCTTCAGTCCTGTCACTGTCGTATTTCTTCTTGGCTAACCTCTTTCTTGGAATAGCTACCTGCACTTTACTATTCCACCACCAGCTTTCCTTATCATCCATTCTCTGTCCATATGACACATAAAGTACAGTACCTTCCCACCTGTCTCTCTAATTACTGTTGCTGTAGTAGCCCAGTCATTTGGAAGGTCTTTCTTACCACCTAGAGCCTGTAACAGCCCCTCTTTCAATTTCTCACAACATTCTTCTTTTCTCAGCTACATTTTCATCTTTTTCTCTGATTTTACATTTTTCTCATTCACAACAATAGTCATTCTACTTACAACCATTCGATGTTGCTTGGCCACACTCCCCTGCCGCAACCTTACAACCCCCAATCTCTTTCAGGGTTTCGCTTCTACACAGAATGTAGTCTATTTGTATATGCCTTCCTCCATTCATAGGTCACTCTATGTTCCTCTCTCTTTTAGAAACAAATGTTGACTACAGCCATTTTCATTCCTCTGGCAAAGTAAACCACATCTGTCTGTTGAGGATCGGGTTATTAAAATTATTTCTTAAAATTATGGGACACCACTTCATTTGAAGAAAATTAAAATCTTTGATTTAAAAATTATTCTCAAAAGAATAACCCCAAAAAGTTTTTTTTTCTTTCTATTTTTGGTTATTTTTATTCTCATCTATTAAATATGAATAATATACAGTTCTAGCTTTATGGAAAGTTTTCTTGTGTGTTAGCAGGCTATCTCTTCAAATTAAATAGTTATTTCATGTTAGATGAGCACCATTTTCTTTCTGGCTTTCTAGATGCCTGTTTTAAAGTATGTAATGCAGAAATTAATCAAGGAGCCAGCTTCCTCTGATTGATTACTTTCTTTTTCAGTAGAGCAATTTCATCAAGTGAAGTACCAGATCATCTAAGTCACTGCTCTCTGTTGCATTACTCTGCAAGACAGGACATTTATACACGTATAAAACCATGTGTTTGCTCTTCAGGTGCGACAGTTGGAGAGAACAGTGGGGCTGAAGGACCTGACAGTGGTTGAGATGGAGGGCCGACTGAGAGAAATGTCTGCCACCACCTTTGACGGTGTCTTTGTCTGGAGGATCTCAGATTTTGCTAAAAAGCGACAGGATGCTATTGCAGGTCGAGCCCCTGCCATGTTCTCACCAGGTAAAAATATTAATGTGTTAACATATTCAAACTGTAACCTAAACTACAAGCTTCATGAATAATCAACAGTTTCTTTTTGTTTTCTTGTTTCTTTTTATTTTCCTCTTGTCCTGTCCAGCATTGTGACACTTAGAATTATTGTCTGAGTGTCAAAGTGATGCCCAACAGATTTACTTTCACAAGCAGAACATTATGACTGGCCTTAATGCTCCACTTGATATATAAATTAAATTTTATTAGAATTTGCTATGGGTTTGTTTCAGATGTAATGGACATGGGGATGAAAAACAAATAAGAAAACAAAGCAGAAAAGTGAGAGTAGGGTTAAAAGGTAAAGAAGGAGATAGGAATAGAGGAGAGAGAGAGAGAGAGAGAGAGAGAGAGAGAGAGAGAGAGAGAGAGACAAAACCGAGAAACCACAACAACAAACAATATATATAATGATACTTATAACATCATTAGAAATTATTTTATACACTACATGGTAATACAAGATATATTTAGTGGCCTCCACAACCCAATTGTGTGTGTATCTGATAAACCCCTGAATCTAAACACCTGTGTGAGCATGCTTGTCACTATAAGGTTTCTCCATAAAAATGTTCAATAATGGATGTGGGGACCCACAGACCCGTCCCCACAGGACACAATGGTAACACAGGGAAGACCAGAGCCACAGACACACAGCGGTCCCCAAGCTTGGAGCTCTGGGAGTCCCCCAACAGGGACACCCGCACCCCCCAGAGAGAGAAGCAAAGGGAAGCCTCGGGCGATCCCCAGCAACCACAATGCAGAACCCCCAGGAGGCTGCAGCGACGAGTCCACAGGCCCTGCCGGCAACCCGCCCCTCCAGAGTAGATCCGGCCATGGACACCAAGTCCCGAGGTCATACCACCCCCCAATAGAGGCCCGACAGAGCCATGGCACCCAGGCCCCGGCAGGCAGCCACCAGGGCGGGCCTGCACACACCCCACCACCCAGCCCCAGCTGCTGAGAGCTGCCAATACACCGGCGGCAGGGGGGCCCACCACCGGAGGGGAGCACGACAGGGGCAGTAGACAGTAGACCCCACATTAAATGGGGGGCCCAAATTGATCCAAGAGAGGGGACCACCTAAAACCTAAAAAAGCAGTTTCTAAAACAGCAGCAGTGGTTCATTTTTTTCCAAATGTCTTTTTGCTATTGGAGTTACACTGTTTTGTTTTGAATGTTTTTCAATTGAACCTTTGCATTAAGTTTTTGTCTCGTTTTCTTTTCAGCCTTTTACACCAGTAAGTATGGCTATAAGATGTGCCTGCGGATCTATCTGAATGGAGATGGGACGGGGCGTGGCAGCCACCTGTCCCTGTTCTTTGTAGTGATGAGAGGACTGAGTGATGCTCTACTCAAATGGCCTTTTAACCAGAAGGTAAAAACCTAGACCAACAGGTGTATTTAAAAAAGTCATATCGCCTAAAAAGTGAGCACATAAAATATTTAGTGACCACCAGAGAGATTTTGTTTACACATTTGCATGGCAACATCAGAGTGCTCCGTATAGTTGTGAATAATTTTTCATTTTGGACTTTATTATTGTGTATGGATGCAGATGTTTAGCAACCTGTTCTAATAGTTTATATGGTTTTATACTTTTGTAAAAAGGAAGAATAAGTTGTTGTAAATCACATGACCATGCGACCAGGAAGTGAATTATTTTTTTTAAATTAGCGCTTAGGTGGGGGGAACAAGATGGTGCCGGCACATTAGGTTGCTTTTAACTGGGCTCTTGCCATTACTGCCAAAAAACTGCCTTTCGGGAGAATATTCTCGCTGCCTCCATGTTGGATGCTCCAGGAGTTGGCATTGTCATGTGACTCGGCAGAGCTGAAATACGGCATAGAAATTGAAGAAATATTACACTATGGGTTCTGTGGCCACTGGACCTGACACCGCCTCGGGCCACGGAACTGCTAAAGCTGGGGACTCAGCTCCACCCACACCAGATTCCACAGAGAAGGATGTGCCGGCCCTTGCATAGGACATTCTGGCTTCAATAAAAGCAGAAATTTCAGGGATAATTAGATCGGAGATGAGAGCCACCCTCACAGAGGATCTCGCCTTTATTAAAGGTGAGCTTCAAGCAGTGAGAGAGCAGATCAGCATTCTTTTCAGGTTTATGTTTGACTAAAACTAGGGGAGTGGTGGCGCAGAGGTTAGAGAAGATGGGCCTGTGATCGGAAAGTTGCAGGCTCAACTCCCCGGACTGATAACATCAAATTGTGGGTGGAAAAGGTGAAGCATCCACACCTGCCTCCACCCTCATTTGCCCCACTCTGGGCCCTTGAGCAAGGCCCTTAACCCCCATCATCTGCTTCCAAAAACAGGTCTCTCTTGAAAATGAGTTCTCGTGACTCAACGAGACTACCTGTATAAATAAAGGATAAATAAAAAAATAAAATAAATAAAAATGATTTTTGGCTGTTTGGAACTTTGATGTGGTTATGTACAACATTTAACTTATATTGGAAGGTGATTGTATGACATAAACACTTCGAATTGAGTAATTCACTCTATTGTTTGCTGTTTTGTATTTATTTATTTTCATATGTGGACATGCGGGAGTCCAGGCAGTTAGAGCTGTGTTCGTCAGTATAAGCACAGATGTGCGGATTCTCAGTTGATAGATGTTGTTCTCTCCATGTTCATGCAGGAGAGAGGGGTGGGTTTATACCAGATCAGTTTGTTGTTTTTTTTATACCTTGTGGCAGTTTGTGTGTACTCAAAAATATCCAATTGTTCAATAATGACCACTTTTAAGGATGTTAGACACTCTAATAGCTGTCCAGTTAACTGCATAAGCTGGAATATTTAATTCCTTAATGTTTCAATAAAATATTGGAAAATTATGTTGCATCTGAAGCAGCTGAATACTGAAATCATATTTTTACAAGAGACCCATGTGCATTCTGCAGACAGTGTAAGTTTTGTTATAAAATGGTCTGGTCAGGTGTTTAAATCTAATTTTCAATCCAACTCAAGAGGGGCAGCCATTATGGTTGGCAAGCAGGTACAATTTACAGCCTTGAGTATACATACTGACACTGCAGGGAGGTATGTTATACTGGTGAGAAAGGTATACACACCCAGTGATTTTGGTTTCAGTATAACTGGGATGACTTCACATTTTTTAATAACCTCTTTTCAAACATACCAAATATATCAACACACAACTTATCGTGACACAAATTGTGTGCTTTCATCTCTTGACCGTAGTTCGATGGGGAAAACTACCCTGACTACGTCCACATAATATATCAACTCATTCCTTAAATCTTATGGTGTGGCTGATGTTTGGCATTTCCATAATTCTACTTCAATATCATACTCGTTCTTTTCCCCAGTTCGTAAGACATATTCACAAATTGACTACTTCTTCCTTGATAAACAAATTCTGCCTTTAGTGAGATAATGCAATTATGGGGCCATGGTTATTTATGACCATGGCCCACTTATTATGAAATTGCTCGTTCTGGTCACACAATCTATGTATCGTCCTTGGCGACTTAACCCCTTGCTCTTGGCCGAGGAGGATTTTCTTGAATTCCTTAAATCTGAAATTGAAAATTTTCTTGATGTTAATCGGACACCAGGGATGCCACTCTATACAGTCTGGGAGGCATCAAAGCCTTACCTGAGGGATCAAATAATTTCCTATTGTGCAGATCAAAAGAAAAATGCTTGGTACGGTTAAGACAGTTAACTGATGAGATTTTACATTTGGTCAGAGAATACAGCCACTCCCCTTCACAAGATCTAGTGAAAAATTGTTTGTTACTTCAAACTGAAATTAATACTTTGTCTAATTGGCAGGCAAAATACTTAATATCCAGACATTGTTACTATGAGTATGGTGAAAAGGATGGGCATTTACTCGCACATCATCTACGGCTGTAACAAGCTCCCATCTAAATGTGAGCTTGTACATGCCCAAGAGAATTCTTTTTAACTATTTCTGAAAAAATTAGGAAACTGAGTATAACACTGGACACATGTAAATAAACATTAGAAAGAATAATGGAAAGAGGAAAGAAAGAGAGAAGTAAAAAAAAACTTGGACACGTCAACTTCAAGGTGCCTTTGGTCGAGGCTCGCTATATTAATCAAACAAAAATCAACTGTTCTAATCGTGATTCAAACATAATCAGTTATACAAGCACATCTTCATGATCATAATAAAGTTTCTGAAATAATTCAAGTTCCCATATTTCCCAAGAGAGATCTCTCTTTAATAAAATATGAAATTGTCCCATAAAAACGTTGGCAATTAGGCACTCAGAACATATTCAGAAAAGAATATGGGGCCCATATAATCCTTCAGTCTCAAAACGAAAGGAGAAAAAAATAAAATAAGGAAACGTTTCACCGGGTTGGCGTCTCTGTCCCCAGGGTTTCCTTCTCTAGACCTGGAGCACTCTCCGCCAAAATCGCTCCAGGGAATCCGGACCGATCCTTCCCCGTGTAGCACTTTGCATTAATATGGGAAAGTCTTCTTCTTCCATCCTGAGTTTGATCTAACTTCAGCATGAAGCCCAACTCCAGTTATTCTGGGCTAACTCAGGAACTTCACTGGTCCGTTCGCTGTGTCTCCGCACACTGCTTCACCTGCCACTCTCCCTTTGCTGTCAAATCCTTGTCTCTTTATTAGTTCCGGTAAAGCTGTGACCCAGATAATTTTTCCCGTGGATTCTTTTGAGGCTGAAGTACACATCAACAAGACATTGTTGTATTTATACTAATACAAACATTTTATTTCTATTTCCTTTATGTAGGTCCAAGGTAAACATTTTTTTCCCAAATACCTTTATTTAGTGTGATGTCACAGATCCCCACCTGGCACCTGGGTCTGTACTCCATAATAGGGCTTTAAATTTACCACATTAACTGTATCCATTTTTCTACTCTGGTCTGTCCACTGTATCTGGTCATTCACAGAACCTACTTGTTTCCTCACAACAGCTGGACCTGACCTTCTAGGCGCTAGCTTTGAGGAAAATCTGTCAGTGGCTTTGGAGAGTGGATGGGACCGGACCCAGACTAAGTCTACCCGGAAAGAGCTGTACACTTCTCCTACGGGCATTATAATACTTAGCTTGTCGGGCCTGGTTCAACCCTATTTTCCACTTAACCTGTTCAGTCATTTCTTTGTGTCTGTCCAGAAGTTTATAGGGTGTCTACTGAAGACTAGTAGAGTGGCCAATGATTCTCTCTAATGGGCCTTTGAGAGGTTGACCAAGAGTAAGCTCAGCTGGTGACTTTCCAGTTGTCTCATGCTGTGCAGCGTTGATGGCAAACCTAAACTCTTGGGTCCATTGATCCCAGTTGGTATGGTGTTCTCCCACAAAGGAGGATATCATTGTTTTGATTGTTCTATTTAACCGTACAGTAAGATTGGCTTGGGGATGATAGCTTGTGGTGAACTTTTGAATCACACCCCAAGTGCGACAGAGCTTTTCCATCTTGTGGCTCGTAAACCGAGGGCCACGATCTGATAACAGCTCTCGAGGAACACCAAAGCGGGTAAATATTTCATTCTTTAAGATGCTGGCAATTTTCTGAGCTTTGCTGTCTTTCAGTGGAAACATTTCTACCCACTTAGTGAAATAGTCAATGATTATCAACAGGTATGTTTCAATTCTTGCTACGGGGAAGAGGACCCATTATGTCCTGCTGGCTTCTGATTGTCCGGTTTATACTTTTGGCAGGTGACACGGGTTTTAATTTAGGCCCAGACATCTTTCCTGACTGTGGGCCACCAGGCTACTTCCAGTATCCTTAACAATGTTTTTAGTTTCCCTAAGTGTCCACTTAGAGGGTGATCATGAAAATAACTGAGAAACTGGGTTATCACAGACTTGGGTACAACCAGCTGAAACTTTTCTCCTTGATCTGTGACAAAGGACTTCCTGTACCAGACATCCTGAACTTTACAGAACCCTTTTATGTTGGGGTTCTTATCAGCAGATGACTGGACCATGTCAAGCAGGGTGGAATCTTTCTCCTGAGCCCCTTTGATGTCAGCCAATACCAAAGGTAACTCTGACCCAGATTTAGATATGGCCGCTGCAATGTATGCCATGTTGATTTTACACACTGCTCTTGACAGCGCATCAGGAACCAAGTTATGTAACCCTTTTCTGTAATGGACTTTGAAGTGGTATTCTTGCAGCCGAAGCACCCATCGGGTCAAGCGAGAAGTTGCCTTTGGACAGTTAAATGCCCAAGTCAATGCTGCATGGTCAGTATATAATGTGAACTCTGATCTTTCTATGAAATGCCACTACTTTTCAACAGCCCACACTATAGCCAAGCACTCTTCCTCTGGGGTGGAATAATTACACTCCACACCCCTCAGGGATCTGGACACAAAGGCAATGACCTTCTCTCCCTCAGGTGTCATTTGCACTAATACCGTGCCCAGTCCCACATCACTGGCATCTGCGTGCATCACAAACGGCAGTTGGAAGTTGGGTTGCATTAATATGGGGGCCTCTACCAGGACTTATTTTAATTGTTCAAATGCCCGCTGGCAGTCTGGACACCATTTCCATTTGCTGGCTTTTTTGAGAAGATGGTATAAGGGTGCAGCTATGTCATCAAAATGGGAAATTAATTTGTGGTACCAGTCTACCAACCCTAAGAATTGCTGAAGTGATTTCTTATCCGTGAGTACGGGGTAATTTGTAATCGCCAGGCTCTTATTTGGATCTACTCGAATCCCCCTCCCAGACACTATATGACCCAAAAATTTGAGTTCTGGTTGAAAGAAGTTGCATTTTCTCAGATTTAAAGTCACGTTCGCTTTGTGCAATTTGGAAAAAAACTGCCTCCAAATCTTTCATATGTTCTAGTGTGGGAGAGAAAATGATCACATCATCTATGTAGACAAAACTAATTTATCCTCTCAGGTCTCCAAGCACCCTTTCCATGAGTCTCTGAAATAAGGCACCAGCATTCCTCAGTCTGAAAGGCATACATTTAAACTGATACAGTCCAAAAGGTGTTGTTACTGCCGTTTTGCCTTTACTTTCTTCAGCCACGGCCATTTGCCAGTAACCTGATTTCAAATCTAAAGTGCTAAACACTGAAGCACCGTTCATGGATTCCAGCAACTCATGAATAAGAGGCATGGGGTAGGCATTCTGTCTATCTTTAGCATTTAAGGCCCTATAATCCACACAAAACCTGAATGTTTTATCTGGTTTTGGGACAAGAACCACAGGAGAAGCCAAAAAAGATTGTGAGGGCTCTATGATGCCGTCTTGAAGCATTTTTTCAATATGGTCTTTGTTTATCTGTCGTTTAAAGGGTAACACCCTGTAGACTCTCGCTTTAACTGGTAGCTCATCTGTGGTGTAAATGTTGTGCACTTCCATCGATGTTTTACTTAAAGTATAAGTGCACACCATGTGCCAGGTTTGAAGAAGTTTGTTAATTTCAGGCAGTTGATTCAAAACTGCTGGTCTTAAGTCTGATGGGAAGTTATCTGTGTGTTTAATGGGCAGAGTCACGATCAGATTCATGTGAGATGGACCAGGACCCACAGAGAAAGTACTCGGTGGTGAAGCCATGAAGGGATAAAACGAATAATTCTAGGCCTTTGACTCCATAGGTGTTATCACCCAGATTAATAATGGTTAGTGAGGTTAGTGTCTTCTACAATAAAGGTGTCCAACACCCACATCATTCCATGCCAACAGTACAGAACAGTTGCTTTTCCCAAAGCACTGTAGGTTTTTCATTGGCTAGGGCAAACTTTTGGTTGTCAGTTCGTTTTAACTGTTCATCTGCCCGAGCCATTTCCTGCCAATGGCTATGCCTCATCAATGTGAAAGTGCAGGCTGTATCCAGGACAGCGTTACACTTCTTATCTCTGATTTCTATGGAAACATATATACAAAGGGAAGATTTTCTCCTCCGACCTCGTTGAACAACGGACACAACATCTGCTGGTCTTTTGAAGTTCCCTTTAGGATATGGTTTTGCTGAGGTCTTACCTTTGGACTTTTGCTGGTCAACTTTCCCCCAATAGACACCTGCACATTCTCTTTCCACTTGGGACCCAACTGTAACAAACTGATCCATCATGGTGACAGTTCCTCTGAGGCAACCAGCCAATTTAGGATTATAGTTGTTTAGGATCCTTCTCACTAGCCCGGCTTCAGTGATATCCGGCTTCCACTGTAAACACAAGGCCCGATAGTCAAAGGCAAAGCCCTTCAAACACTGCTCTGGTAACTACACCATGTCCCGAAGTTTTTCTTCCACCTCCGAGAGGTAGTCTGGAGGAAGAAATGCAGCGTAGAATGCTTCCTTAAATTCCATCCAGTTCTGGATTTCATTCTTGATCACACACCACCAGCTGTGAGCAAGACCTTTTAAGACACCAGTCAAAGCCCCAATTAATTCAGGGTCTGGCAAGAATGTTTCACACTGGTCAATGAAGTTCACCACATCTGCCCCTCTCTCTTTGTCCTCTCTTGCCCCTGTAAATGTGGGAAAGTCCATGTGGATGGGAGGTTTGGCATAAACTGCTGGTATTCTACCAGAAGTGAGAGGGACAGGTGTGGGAAGTGTAGGTGTCTCACTATTGGAGGATGGTATAGCCGGAAGCACCTCGGTAAGGACAGGTGCAGGTCAGTTGGGGTCAGAGTATGCACTTGAACTTGGCTGATCGACGTTTTGTAGATAAGTAGTTGGCTGGGTGGAATGAGATGTGGTTGACCTCTGACAAGTCGAGGTAAACACTACTGGTGCGCGCACAGTAGAAGGAGTCATTAAGGGTGTCCTCTGGACAGTAGACGGATCCAAAGTACCTTCAGCACTGATTAGGGTAGGTAGGTAGCAGTAGATCGATGGGCGTGCTTCAATTTCTCCACCTCTACCTTCCACCTCTCATCATGTCGCTGTAAACACTGAACTAACTTTTCCTCAAACTCTTTTAGGGTAGTAATCATATGCTGTTCTAATGCCTCCATAGTTTTGTCTATATATGTTCTTATACTTTGCTCTCGATTTATAGCAAAAACCCACGCATGCACGGAGAGAACATGCAAACTCCACCCAGAAAGGCCTCTGGACCGGGGTTTGAACCAAGGACCTGCTCGCTGAGAGGCAGCAGCTCTACCAGTTGCGCCACCGTGCTGCCCTGAAGCATATAATGAACTAAGTAAAGAAGTTATTTCCCCCACAGGGTTTCTCCAAGTTACCCAAACATCGCCTCCTGGACAACTACCTGCTAAATCAGTTTCTAAAGGGTGTCCCGTTACTCCATCTGCTTCATGCAGTGAACCATATACCTCAGCTCCAGATAGTTGAGAGGGAATTTCTTCCATAATATCACTAAAGTTATCACACTTAATGCAAAATGAATTATTTTTAACAAAACCCCAAGCAACAACAACAGTCAAAGTCAGTCAGTTTAATATTACTCATTTTCAAAAAAAAATTATTTCCCCATACGGGCCACCACTCTGTAACAATCTCCCATCTAAATGTGAGCTTGTACACGCTCAAGAGAGTCCTTTTAACTATTTCTGAAAAAAATAGGAAACTGAGTATAACACTGGACCATCCTAAATAAACATTAGGAAGAACAATGGAAAGAGGAAAGAAAGAGAAGTAAAAAAAAAACTTGGACACGTCAACATCAAGGTGCCATTGGTCGAGGCTCGCTATATTAATCAAGCAAAAATCTGCTGTTCCAATCGTGATTCAAACATAACCAGTTACACAAGCACATCTTCTTCATGGTAAGGTCTCTGAAATAATTCAAGTTCCCATATTTCCTGAGAGATCTCTTTTTAATAATAATACGAAATTGTCCCATAAAAACTCAACAAGGTCTATACACTGTTCAGTTCATACCAAGAGACCTGTTTGGACTCTTTTAACCTGAAATGATAAAAATACTTAGCAGAATCCATATCATACTCAGTTTGGCAAAAGATCATTCAGAACATTTATTCATCCTCAGTCTGTCTGAAACATGCTGTAATTCAATTCAAGGTGGTGCACTGGCTGCATTGGTCCAAAGACAAACTGTCCCCAAGATTAAAATGGACCTGGATCTTGCATGTAACTGCTGTAAACAAACTTCAGCTATGCTCTTACACACATTCTGGACTTGCCCAAAGCTGCAGGGCTATTGGTAATCTATTTTTGATACTTTATCTGGGATATGTGGAAAAACTGTGTACCTATCACCATTCATTTCAGTGTTTGGGGGTGGCCCCTGTGGATGCATCTGTCAGCAAGTGTAAGAGGAATATGACTGCTTTTGGCTCTCTTCTAGCCAGGAGACATATTTTATGCAGATGGAAGGATTCGCATCCCTCGGCATATGAATACTGGATAAGAGAAGTCATGCTTCATATTCATCTGGAAAAGATCAGATATACTCTAAAAGGTTCTGTTGAGAGATTTTGGGACACTTGGCAGCCGTTTGTGTCTTATGCTGAAAATATGTCAATACCTGTGTAATGTGTTTGTGTCTTTGTTGCTGATCCGGTGTGGAAAGGGTGAGAGGGGATTTTGTTCTGTTTATTTCTTCTCATGTTTTTACGTTTGTATGTGTGTGTGTGGGTGGGTGCTGGGGGGGAGGGGGTGTTTGTGCGTGTGTGTTTTGAAAAAAAAAAAGTCAATAAAAAGACTGATTAAAAAGTCTCCCTGTTTACTGACACCCCCAATAATGAGGTAGAATTTCTGCCCTTGGGAACAAACTGTCTGCAGAGCTCAGACTTGGGTCTGATTTCATCATATTTAAATCTAAATTAATGACCTAATTGATTTTAAACTGTTTATTACTGCATTTATTAATTATCTTTTAACTGATTGAAAATTGAATGTTCGTGTGTGTGTGTGTGTGTAGATTTTTTTTCTTTAGTTCTGTTAACTTGTTTTTATTCTTTAAAACACCTTGTGTTGCTTCCTGGTATGAAGTGTCCTACATAAATAAAATGTACTTGCCTTTCCTATTAGTATTAACTGTTTTTGTATTGATATCTTGTTGATGCTTTTGTCTGTGTGTGACATAACTGTTGCTGTTGTGCATTGTCTGTCTTTAGTTAAAAATGTGACAGTCACATAATCAAAGTTTATTGCTGGTCTTGCCTCCAGGTGACTCTGATGCTGCTGGATCAGAGCAACAGGGAACACATCATTGATGCCTTTCGACCTGATGTCACTTCCTCCTCCTTCCAGAGACCTGTAAGTGAGATGAACATCGCCAGCGGCTGTCCACTCTTCTGCCCACTCTCCAAACTTGATGGCAAGAACTCTTACATTCGAGATGACACCATCTTCATCAAAGCTATTGTGGACCTCACTGGCCTCTAGAAGTCTTCACCGGGTGTTCAGTTTGGCAACCTGGTAGCTCTCTGACCATTAAAGCTTTGTATTTAGCTCAACCATGGTCTCATTAGGGCTCGGTTCGAGGCATTGTAGCATCCCCAACAGCAATGGGGAAACAAACATGCTTGCAACTGTTTGTTGCATGCAGCTGCTCAGTCCAGATGGTGCTGGCATTTTCATACCAAGTGGTATCTGTGTGAGAACCACTGTCACTGATGTACATTTTGAGTGCAAAAGTTTTTTTATTTTGACATCCCCACCCCCACCCCCCCGGGATTTAAATCAGCTTTGCACAGGTGTTTTCAGTAGACAGGCCCGTGGGCGAGCAGCAAGGTGGTGTGGTCTTAGTCGAGGTGAGCGGAGACAGAGATGTTTTGATGATGTGAAGAGATTTTCACTCTTCAGAACATGCAGATTGTTTTAGATTGTAGGATTGTATATTCCAGATAGTTTGTGTGATCTTTCTCATAAACCTGGCTTGTAATAGAATTAGAGCTACAGTATTTGCAGTTTTTCCTTCTTCTTGAAGATCATGGATATCGTAAGCTTGCAGTCTCAAGTGAATTTGCATAGACAAACGTGGAGTTATGTTATGAATAAGATAACAGGCTTCTTTTCCCTTATTGCTTTTCTTAGCAAAGTGCATGCCACTGGCATTTTTTAGCAGCTCCTTGATTCAAGCTAGCTTCATAAAGGTTTGGTGTTAAACGTGTTAGTGAATTAGCCATCCATTATGGTGGACATTGCCTGCATGACATTTGGGTCCAGGCTTCTTACATGTAGAGTGGAGTGATGTGTGTTTGTTCCTGTTACGGGTCGGTGGTCCTGATTGGTGGTTTGGTACATCTGTGGAAGATACAGCGGAGTTACCAAGGAATCCAGGGCAGCTTGCCAGTCAAGCATGAGGCATAAAACTTGCATGTGTTTTTATTTTGTCTCTCTGACAAACACACACAGCTGAAGTTTTCCTGCAGGATTTACTAACAAGCTCACAACTCGACACATCGTACTAAGCCCCACCACAGACTGAGGTTAACATAGATTAACCAGAGTAAAAGGATTGTTTGTCTGTTCAAATAGTTCTTAAAGCATATGTGTTTCAGCAGCTCAGAGACACAATTCTGGTGTAAACCTAATATTTATGTGTTAGTGAAATTATATTTGAGCTAGTAAATACCGATATGTGTGAACGTGGAATGATTGAAAATAGATTGCTAAGCATTAAATGGATAATCTGGTCATTTTTAAAGTAGTTCTGTAGTGGTTTCAGTAGTTATTACTTTATCAGCCATGACGTCAGTCATAGAGCATGAAGTATAAAGAAAAAGCAAGTATGAACTGGATATAAAGAAAAAGGCAAATGTTTTCGACCAGGCTAGGCTAATAGCTAGTCAAAAGAGGGCGTGTTGTACAATGCTTTTGAGGATTAATAACAACTCCTTCTCTAAACACAAAACATTAAAGAAAGCTTTATTTGCTACTACTAAACCTTTACCTCTCTAAGAAAGGTAGACAAATAGACAGCCTGTTACCATTCATCCATCCATTATTTTCTGCTTGTTGCAGAGACGGGTCGTGGGGACAGCAGTTTGAGCAGGGAGGTCCAGGCATCTATTTCCACAGCCACCTCTTGCAGCTCATGGAAAGATCCCAAGGGTTTCCCAGACCAACTGAGAGACATAGTCTCTCCAGCTTGTCATGGATTTTCCCCAGGGTCTGTCCCCAAGTTGGATATGCTTGTAAAAACTTCCAAGAAAGACGTCTGGGGGCAGACAGAATCACCTTAACTGGCTCTTCTCAGTTTAGAAGAACAGAGGCTCTACTCCAAGTCTCTCTTCGATAACTGAACTTCTCACCTCATCTCTAAGGGAGAATCAGCTATTTTGTGGTGAAACTCATTTTAACCACTTGTATTCTCAAACTTGTTCATTCTGTGACAACCCATTTTTGGGGGTAGGAACATACGGTCTGTTTCTTTTTTTTCATCAGAATTTTTATTGGGGCTTTTATCCAGAATGCGCACACACAAAAAGAAAAAAGCAAACAACAAAATCCCCTCCCATGCTACCCTTCCCAAACTGGATCATCTACACAGACATGATGACATCAAACAGGCATTGATTTGACATACTTTCAATATAAGATACAAACGGCTGCCAAGTGTCCAAAAGTCTCCCAACAGTTCCTTTCAGAGTATATCTAATCTTTTCCAAATGAATATGACACATAAATTCTCTTATCCAGCGTTCATATACAGGGGGATGCAGATCCTTCCATCTGCATAAAATAAGTCTTGTGGCTAGAAAAGAGCCAAAAGCAATCATATTCCTCTCATACTTACTAAAGGATGCATCCACAGGGGCCACCCCAAACAATGAAACGAATGGTGATGGGTACACAGTTTTTCCACATATCCCAGAGAAAGTATCTAAAATATGTTGCCAATAGCCCCGCAGCTTTGAACAAGTAGATAATGTGTGTAAGAACATAGCTGGACTTTGTTTACAGTAGTTACATTCAGGATCCAGGTCAGTTTTAATCTTGGACAGTTTGTCTTTGGATCAGTGCAGACGGTGCACCACCTTGAATTAAATTACAGTATCTCAGATATAATGAGGATGAATAAATGTTCTGAATGATCTTTTGCCAAACTGTTCCACTGATATGGATTCATCCAAGTCCATTTCCCATTTCAGTTTAAGAGACTCCAAACTGGTCTCATGGTATGAACTGAGCAGTGTAGAGATCTTGCTCAGCCCCCGGAGTGTCAAACCTGCACTTCAAAATCATAACCACAAAATGTTTAGAGGGGTACAAAGGAAAACAATCAGAGTTAGACCTCACAAAATGCCTCCACTGCAGATACCTGAAAAACTGTGACTTGTAGATATTAAACTTCTGAACCAGCTGCTCAAAAGAAGCAAATTTATCATCAACAGAGAGATCATATTGTGAATATACTCCATTCAAGTCCCAGGCTTCAAAAGCTGGATCAGGTAATGAGGGAGTAGGTGTCACGCAAAAGTATAGAGAATATAATATTAGCTAATATAATTAGATAATAATATAGCTATAATTCGCTAGCATTAACATTGACTGACAACTAGAGACTACCAAAAACGGACTGAAATAAAACCACAACTAAAAACATTTAAAATACATAAAATACAGATATCAAACTAAGTAAAAATAACCCAAACCCCCTTACTGCCTGTTGTTTTTCAGACAAACCTGACAAACAATTAAAAAACAAATCTTGTTTGGCTAGCCATTAGACTAGTCTGGATAAGGACTCCTGCCCTTTTCTTCTTACTCTGTGCTCTATGACATGTCACAGCTGATAAGGTACTAACTATTAATAACTAATTGACAGATTATTATCTAAAAAATGTCTAAACCAATCTTTTTGCCGGCTCCAAGTCATTACTGACAATACTTACTAATGATTGAAGCGCTTCAGAATCTAATTTCAACACGTATGATTAGAACGTATGTTTTCATCTGCTCACAAGAGATTGCCGTTATTGATCGTGCAAGCTGAGGTTTTAAGGTTCACGCTGGCCTGTTTAGAAACCAGTCTCGACCTGTATTGGACCCTCTCTGTGCATGGGAGGCTTCAATTCATTTTCACTATGGAAATGTCTTGCCAAGTTTACTCTGAGCCTGTGCGTGAAAGCATGTACTTATATTTGTTTGGATGAGAACATAGAATAATTATTATTTTATATCTAGCACTGCCCAATACAGGCAGCTGCCTATATTCATAGCAGTTTATAAATATGTATCTTTCATATCATATTGTTAAAATATTCTATATATTGATGTTAATATACACAAGATATTATAATATACATAATATTACTGAATAACTTATTAATTCTATAAATCTATAGAGCAACCTTTTGTTTGATGGTTTGAACAGGCCAGGGCGACCTCTTTGTGCTATGAGGACTTCCAGGTCACACTTTTTGTTGCCATCTGTTTACTTTACTTGTAACGAGCTCAAGTTTCAAGGAAATATTTTGCTTTTCTGATCTTTAAATTTCATCTATAGTCAAGTAGTTGTACTTAGCTGAGTGAGATTTTAGAAAAACATTTTATTGTACATAAACTGTTCCTACCCACATCAAACCAGTTTTTAATCTTTCAAACATTTTAATGAAGACTGAGCCTAAAATGTGTCAAATTACATAGACTTTTTTTTTAAACTTCGAGTCTTGTAACATGCAAAAATCACATATTACCTCCATATGCTAACAGTGTTGTACTGCAAGTTGTATTTTTGTTCTATGCTAATATATGGTACCAAATATATTTATATGAAACCTGTATTTATAAATGTGTGGGTGTGTGCGAGCATGACTTTTTAACATGATGCATGGGGTTTAGTTTTTGTGGAGGTATATTTCTGACCATGATCAGATCATAGGTTTCTGAATGTAAGCTTTATTCTGTTGATTTTTATTTCCTCAAAAACACAATAGCTGTGTTTTCGCTCATCACAATTGAGTGTAAATGTGATGCAGTTGTGTCAAACTGACTTCTTTGTGCACTTTGTATCATTTGTTCAAACAGGGTCGTTGTTGACGGATTTTCTTTTACACTGAAATTAGAGCCATATTTATTCAGATGTTGATATTTTATGTAATATGCTAAATGAGGTCATGCAGTCTGTAATAAACTGTGTTGGTTTCAGATTTTTTTGTGTTTAAGTAGCTTTTTTTAATCACCCACTGCCAAAGTGTGGAGGATTTTAAGTCTTGGAAAACATAATTAAATGTACATTTGCAAAAAATCTGTTATGGAAGTCAATGGCTACCACAACTAACGACCACGGCAAACACAAAAATGGCTAACCCTTCTCAGTTTAACAGATAATGAGCTGATTTTTTTCTTTCGGCTGCTCCCTTCTTCATGGATCACCACAGTGAACTAAATCGCACGAAGACTTGACAGTTGTTTTTACGCCAGATGCCGTTCCTGACGCAACCACAAACCACCAAACTACCGCAGCCCTCTGTGTGGAGCAGAGCTGCCATCTAGGGCACCTGGGGGATCAGATGGGGCAAATGACAGTGGA